TTTCTCTCTCTCCTCCCATTCTCTCTCCTTCTATGTAATTCTGCCTGTCAAATAAATAATTCTTTTTAAAAAAGAGGCAAAGTATACATTTAAATACACAAGAGTTTTCAAAAGATTGAAAGCTTGCATGACTAATGGCTGCAATTCTAAAAAAGATAATAATAATAATAAAATAAAACAGTTTTTTGATAGAATGCCTTTCATTTGAAAATATTCAAAACGTAAAGCAGTGAACTTTCATTTATTTTTTTTAAACTAGAAAACTCTTTGAATTATGAAAAGCAAAACTGTCAGCCATTCTCAAACTTCTGAAGCATAACTAAAATTTAAAGAGCGAGAGTGTGAGCGAGTGAGAGAGAGAGAGAGAGAGAGGAAGCAATGAAATGGACACTTAGACTCTGTTGCAAAAAAGACGATGCTGCAAGTGACAGCGCAGAAGCTGAAGCACAGAGTACTCCACAGCAATGAGAAGTCATGAGTTTCACTTCCTCTGTAACAACTTGTCTTTGGATTGCAGTAGTCACTTCCTCACAGAGGGTTCTGGGTCCCTGTTTGTACAATGATTAGATGAAGTACATCAACATCTTAATGTGAGCTTGTGCACAACAATATATAAGTGAACATTTTCTCAGTGTAAGAGGGTGAAGGAGATAAAGGACCTTTTTCAACCTTTAAAACTCCATGCTGTGGCACATTTTTTTTTAAGAAGCAAAAGAAAATGAGAAGTCTTTAATTTATTGCCTTGAGAGAAAATGTCACCGCCTTTACACAGTCTTTATAATTTGTCTGACTCTTCAAATGAAAACTCACCAAAAATAGGGCAGAATATAAACTTTTAAAACAAAGTATAATTATTTTAAAGTCAAATGTAACACAAAAGTGAGAATTTGTCAGCCTCAACTGCTGAAACGAGCTTTCTAATCATGTCAAAATTGACAATTTCATTTGTTAATATTAAGATAGACATTCTTATGCTTTTTTACATTAAATTATCTAATTATCTATTAAATTAGATAATTTAATGTAAAATTCTTTTTTAATATAAAAATTCTTTTCCCCAACATGTATGATAATTGATCTATAAATCACTATCAATTATTGAGATTTCCTTGATCACACATCATTTTCATTTCTTATATGTAATGTGGAATATTTTTTCTGCATTACGTACATCCTGCAAACCAATTATACTAAGCAAGTATCATGTTGTCTGACGAAATTTTCAGTTTCAATCACTGATTTTTTCATATAAAATTTCCGTCTGATTTTTCTTTATATTTTCAGTCTCTACTCAAATTCTCCAATGAATTATCTCAGACATAACTGATCATAGTCATTTTAGAGCTCATATCTGATGATTCCACTCTCAGGACCCAAAGCAGGGCTATTTCCATTGTCTGTGCTTCCTCGTGGTTCTCTGTCATTTCATCTTCACACCTATCACGTCTGCTGGTATTTACATGGAAGACAGATTTATACTGTAAATAAATTACACTAGAAATAATCTGAAGCTCTGGATAATGCTGTTTTATTTTTTTTATGAACACTGAACTGTTTCTGATTCCCTCTTAAGTTTGATAGACTTTTAAGAAAGTAATCTGAATATCTGGGACATTAATTAAAATTCTTCAACCTTTTGTACACCTAACATCTATATTTTGTCCCTTATTCTTACGAAAGTATAAAAAATCTAGTTGAGGGCCCGGCGTGGTGGCACAAGTGGTTAAGGTCCTCGCCTTGAACACACCAGGATCCCATATGGGCGCCAGTTCTAATCCCGGCAGCCCCGCTTCCCATCCAGCTCCCTGCTTGTGGCCCGGGAAAGCAGTCGAGGACGGCCCAAAGCTTTGGGAACCTGCACCCGCGTGGGAGACCTGGAAGAGGCTCCTGGCTTCGGATTGGCATAGCATTGGCCGTTGCGCTCACTTGGGGAGTGAATCATCGGATGGAAGATCTTCCTCTCTGTCTCTCCTCTCTGTATATCCGCCTTTCCAATAAAAAAATAATAAAAAAAAATAAATCTTAAAAAAAAATCTAGTTGAACCCCATTGAAATTACGAATATGATAACAAAGTAAGTTAATATAGGTGAAGCAACATCTTTATAATATCTTCTCCATCTAAGAATATGGGATAGCACATAGTAAAATTTTATCTTTATATTTCCTAGGTTTTTAATAATCCAGGTTTTTTTTCACATAGAGCCATAATATTTGTTATGAGTAATAAAAAAATATCAGGGATGGCATTGTGGCAGAGTGGGTATATCTGCTTCCTTGCAGCACCAGCAATCTCACATGGATGCTGGCTCCTAACTGGCTGGTCACTTCTGGTCCAGCTCCCTTGTAATGGCCTGGCAAAACCAGCCAAAGATGGCCCACGTGCTTGGACTTCTGCCCTTCAAGCCGGAGAACCAGATGAAGCTCCTGGCTCCTGTTGTCAGCCTGGCCCAGTGCTGGCCATTGACCAGTACTCTCTCTCTCTCTCTCTCTGAAGTCTGATTTTCAAAATAAGAAATATATCTAGGTAGAACCTGGAATGGAAGGGAAATCTAAGTATAACAGCAAGAGTAGAATTTTGGTTAATATGATCATCATGTATCTTTAACTCCGTACTTCCATGATAGCCCAAGAAAATGTCAAACAAATGTTTCGGGTATAAACCCACGAATATAAAAGTCCATTAAGACAAAGTGAATAGGAAAAGAGTCTCAAAACCCTGAGGTTTGCGGAGAGCAAGGTGAAGGAACTAACTATTCATAGCAAGGCCTTAACACATTTCCTCTAGCTTCTTTAAATAGTTTCTCGTTTCCTTAACAACTCTCTGTCATCACCTCCCTAGCATTAGAATGTTTCGAAGAGTACTCCACTGTACCACACACATCAGGGAGTGTATCAGACCACAGACTAAGTGACAAACTCTAAACATCATAGTGACTTCCTTCTCCCATTCTGCTCTTACAATATGGAAACCAAGCAAATGACTTTTAGGCATGATGTTTGATGCTTATTTTCTGGAGAAACTGAAGACACCCAGAAAAGAAATATCTAGAAGTTAGACACACATGTGCCTTCCTTTCCCAAATAGGAACTTAGCCACCAGACCACCATGGAAGCGAATTCATCAAGATAATAATCTTGGTCCTCAAATGTACAATTTTTTTTTTTTTTTACAAATCTTTCATTTGTTCATTTTTTTTAATAAATATTTATTTTATCTTTATTGGAAAGACGGATATACAGAGAGGAGAGACAGAGAGGAAGATCTTCCCACCGATGATTCACTCCCCAAGTGAGCGCAACAGCCGATGCTATGCCGATCTAAAGCCAGGAGCCTCTTCTGGGTCTCCCAAGCGGGTGCAGGGTCCCAAAGCTTTGGGCCGTCCTCGACTGCTTTCCCGGGCCACAGGCAGGGAGCTGGATGGGAAGCGGGGCTGCCGGGATTAGAACTGGCACCCATATGGGATCCCAGGCGTGCAAGGCGAGGACCTTAACCACTTGTGCCATCGTGCTGGGCCCCGTTTGTTTATTCTTAATAGTGAATAGAAACCTAAAGATCACCAGAGATCTGACCAACACCACTAACCTAAAGGAATGGAAAGGAAACCCGAAGGAGAAAATGCAGGGAAGAAAACTTGAAAACAACCAGTTAAAATCCTCAGAAAAACAAGATAAAATATTTCACAGAACATGGATTATGGAAAGAGAAAAATTAAAAGCATGAGAGTTAAAACACAAAACTCAGCAGAAGAGTTATCAGATAAAAAAAAAAAATCAAAGAAACTGCCTTGCAAGCAAAACCAAAACACAACACAGCAGAAGGAGGTTTAAATTAAATCCTTAGGTAAAATCAGGTGCTGGCACTGTGGTTTAAGCTACTGCCTGCAGGGCCAGCGCCACATTATGGATGCCAATTTGATTAATAGCTCCACTTGCTGTGCAGCTCCCTGTTGTCACGCATGGGAAAGCAGCAGAGGATGGCCCAAGTGCTGGGACCCTCATCCCCATGGGAAAACCTCCGAGTTCCTGGCTTCAGACCGGTCTACCTGTAGCCATTGGGGCCATTTGAAAAGCGAACCAGCAGATGGAAGATATTTGTTTATCCCTTTGTATCTCTGCCTTTAAAATAAATAAATCTTGAAAAAAAATAAGTAAATTTAACCCCATGTGTAAAACATAGCCACCAATGAATAAATATGCAGATGTGCCATTTATAATGGGTCCTTCTTTATAAAGTTTCTTCTTTCTGCTCAGTACCTACTATGTGAAACCTTCTGGGATGTCGGTTATTTCATATAAAATAAGACACGTAGAACCATTATAAGATACATAAAACCATAATGGGCACATAATCTCAGCAGTTTAAATGTAACAAAAGTATAGTACAGAAGTGAACTGTTTCTGGTCTTGGCCAGTTTGCAGAGCTGGCCTTTCAAGTTGGCTAAGAACTCAAAGCCCAGAAACACTAAAAGAAGGAAAACTGTTCCAGGCAGAGGAGATTGAGTAGAGAAACAAAATCCCAGTGGGTTCATGACACAGTAATCAGCTCATATCGATCCAAGCACAAAGCAGAGATAACTGCTCAGAGAGGCTGATAGAAATAATTTGGAATCTAAGAGGATTTCTCTGCAAGTTGGGAGTTAACGAACTTCAAATGGAACAAGTATTACCCCCAGTTTCAATGCTACTGGACAAGGGTACTGAGTCAACAACAAGTTGTACCTAAAAGTTCAAGGTCATCTCATCATAATGGACCCTGGCTTTCTGGAACACAAAAACTGGCTAAAGAGAAGCAATTAAAGTGAGAAAATATGCTTAGGAAACTATTGCCATGGCATGAGTATCCGACTGGTGTGTCAGAGAAACTGACATGGTAAACAACAGGAATACAAAGGTGGGTATAGTTAAGAAGAAGTTCTTTGGTAGAACATATATTAAGAAATAAATGGATTATTGGTTAATTGGAATGAAAGCAGAAACATACTGAAACTGAAAAGACTACCTGCAGGCGATCCACATGAACTTTAACTCCTCCAAGCATTCCTTTTTTTAAGGCTGCCAGCATATCCAGTATGGGGGTGAACCGGCTACCTCTATGAAACATAAACAAGTAAAATGTGCATATGAACTAAAGAATCCAAAAAAAATGGTAACTGACTAAACATGAATTTCATCTCTTTCATTAACTCACCGTATATTGTCTTCCCTGATGAGAACAAGGAAAAGTGGGCGGCCATGCATTTTCCAATATTGCTTAATGAACTGCAGTGCATTCTATCAAAAAATAATAGTTAGACAGGATGTAGAAATAGCACAGTATCGTCAACCCGAGTGACAAAAAGCCAACAAATTAACAAGAGTGTACAATCAAGCCCAGGATAATTTAGGAACTAAAAGCTAAGCCAGAAACAATTTTGATCTCAAACTTCGGTCTCTAATCACATGGCACATGCTTAAGTGCTTTTTAGTTCTTCAACATTCTTTTCATTTTTTAACCTGAAGATTACAGTTCAAGAATGATCTGTGAGAAATCAGAGAGGAAACATGAATGATGCTTGTTATCATCCAGAAGGTACTTATTTCACATCACAGTGGATTTGCTTTATGGTAGTAGAAGAGATTGGACTGAATTCACATAGACTATCAGGAATATGCAAGGAGTTCCTTAGTTGACTGCATACCCATCTATTTCTCTATCTAACCATTTTCATGTCAAACACATATAAGACACTTCACCATGGATGAGGCACTATTCTGAAGGATTTACATACATTAACATTCTCAAAATAGACATTATTATTAGTAGTAGTATGTTTTATAGATGTGAAAGTTGAGGCATGGAGAACATAAGCAGCTTGCTCAATAAATAAATAAATAAACAGTTGGAAAATGATAGAGCCAAGATTCTATGACATGTTGTCTAGCTCCAGAGTCCAGGCTTCAATTCCAAGCTCGCCTAAATCTACAAGCGCAAATGGGTGTAGAGGAGATTTTAATTCACAAAGTTGCGAGTAAGTGAAGGTCTTATCAGATATTCTAAAGAAATAAAGCTATTTTGCTGACTCAACTTCTGCTCAAAAAGTGATCATTACAAGCACATGAATGCCACTTTCAAAACACTTTGATCTCTTCTATGTGCGGTTAATATAAATCCACAGTAATCTGCAATGAGAATTAATCTTCTGGATGATACACTGGGATGATTTTATCCCCCCAGATGATCATTCTTGAACTCTATATTTTAGGCTCATATCATTCCATTTGCAGAGAGGGATGACAAGTTATGTCATAACAACCTTACATAAGACAGACTCCATTCATTATTCCAATGCTGAATATAACTGAAACATTTTCTCTCAAGCTGTGCAGATGCTGTGTTACTTTCAGCTTCATACACTTTGCTAACCTCGAAGCAGAGACACGCAGAAGCACTCAATTTTGCAGCATATGTTAAAGTCAGTAAAGCAAAAGTCATTTCATTTCAACAGAGAGGTTTTCTGAAGCTACCTTTATGTCATCTATCAGTAGTAAAACATCTTGGGACATGTAGAAATCACTGAGGTCGAAGATGATGGGATAACAAACGACAGTCTTCCCCAGAATTCGGTAAATCTATGGAAAGAATTTTTTTTTAAAAAAATACAAAAACAAAATAAAGACAAAGGTGAGGTATGATAAGTCTCAGTGATAATTCAAATATATCTAATTTTTAATAAGCAAATAAACTAATCTTCTGAATGAAATTTATATGCTAAGAAAATTCAGTTTCTTGACGCAATCAAGATTTAAAAGTAGAGTAAATATGACTATCATCTGGTATTTCATAAGGCTTACAAATAAGTTTAAAGTAAGATGTTCATTCATTCTTACAAGATTCTTGTGCTATGGTTAAAACGAATAAGATTGACTCGGCAGAAAAGAATATTTCAGATAATTAACCCAAGTGCATGATGAACCATGACAGCGGATACATTTTAGCACGTTGTTTTGCAGGTTGAATTGTACAGTATGGGGTCATTTCATGAGCACCTTTGATGTTCCGAGGCAGCCAATGGGCCTGTCTGGCCTTCCAGAGAGTCCTAATTTTTCATTGATACCCAGGTGAAAATATGCCTGTGAAACAAAAGGTGCAAATTAATGTCAGGTAAGAACCCATGCTTTTTTTTGTTTGTTTCCTGCTTCCTTCTACCAGACTATTGCCATGTTAAGTTGTGTTATTCTTGGAGAAAGAGGTAGGAAAAACTTTATCCAAGGAAAACAAGCCAGTCAAAGATGTAAATTTGGATTCTGGGCCACAGATATCTGAAAGCAAAGTTTGTAGATCCACTTAACAACATTCTCAAGTTTAGCATCACAGATGTGCAATACGTAGGGCTCTCATTCATGAAAGAACACAATAAAAGACCAGTGTTTCCTATGTCATCAAAAAGATACCCACATCACCTGCTAAATTTCTACCTTCAGGCCTCTCCCTTCAAAATGGAAATATCTTTGTTGATTTTTCAGACTATAAAGATTTTTATGAAAAATTCAAACCTTATGCTAAAAGTAAGTAATTCTTCTTACTCTTAGAGCTTATGACCGAACAATTATTTTGCTTTAATGCATGTTGTGTGTTAGCTAAGAATTATCAAACGTATACATGATATTTAAAGCACACAGAAAAACATAGCCATATCATGCTCATATGTCAAAGTGTATGTATATCCACATAATGGGTTGATAATTTAATCAATGCCCCATTTCTTGAACTTAATATATTTTAAGTTCCAGCTTTAAAATGCTACAATGAATGTATATATTTTCTCCTTATTTCAATATTGAAATGATAAAATAAATAAAATAACTGGACAACAGCAGTCAGTAGAGGTATCAGAAAATAGGAGAGGGTAGCAGTGGAAAAAAAAGACTAAAAACTTGCTAAAATTTCTATGAGGTAAAGATATTTTTTCTTAAAATGAACTAGGAATTAATTGCTAAGCTGATGACATGATCTAATAAGAAGTCTTATAGTATTTGATAAATATTGCCTAATAAATTTAGTTACAATTTTTAATTTTAAAATAGGTCACTAAACATTTTTGGATAATGTGCTGTTAAGACTTACAGAGTTATTTACTAGATTTTCTGAACCTAAGATAATCTACATTTTCTTTGAAACATAATGTTGTTGTATACTAATTTATACTGGTACTAACAGTGTACGGGCATATTAAGAATACCAGCTCTTGAACCAAGCATTTTTATCCAGTTAATTCTTACTCCCTCTTGGTATGAAATATGAGAATGAATCCACAGAAGGTCAGACATCATTTTAGAAGGTACTGTTTCAATACAGTCAATTTCTACCAGTAACTTCACAAGCACCTTTGGAGTTTAGTTATTTATGCCATATTCAGTTTAACAATCATTTCCCGAATGGCCTCTTTGGTACTGTTAATCTAAGAGTGGACTTCCTCTACCAATAACCATTAAAAATATTCTTTTACTTCTCATGATTTTATACTTGAATTACTTAAAGTATTTTGCATTTTTCATCTGGAATTGATTTTTACATTTAATGAGGGAGAAATATAAGTTTTTCTAAATGTGAACTCAACGATCAGTCTCCAAAATCTACTGATTGTGATTTGAACTAATTTCAAATCACAACTTCATTGTATACAAAAGTAATGTTTTTATTAAAGTGTTCTGTTCATTCTGTGATTGTACACACATGTATATCAGCATTTGCACACTGAGAGAGAACAGAATCGCAACAGTTGATGGGAAAAATCTGGTGGGCGAATGGGGGAGCACGTACACGTCCCTCATGTGCTGCGAATATTGGCAGTTAAACACTGTTGGTTTTAGCCAGTCACATGGGCAGAGAAGAGATTATAGCGCAGAGGTGCCCTGAAGCTAAAGCACATAACTGCTAACCTGTAACACTTCACCACAGAAAATAATAAAAACAATTTTAAAAGATTGCAAAACTAATGTCCTCAAGAACAGTCCATGAAGAATTTTCTTTGGCTTAAAATAGACTTGCCTAGAAAAAAAAAACAGGATTCAGTGACCGACCATAGAAATAAAATGGAAAGCAGCTCTTCCCTGAGAACGATGTCTGACTCACAGATTATGTGGTGTGTGCGACAGTAACGCTGCTTTTCCCAAACTTATCTTCTACGACTGAGACAACTTCTAGTATATAAATGCCTCCCACTGAGGTTTTAATAGATTTATTACTGATGCTGAGATAAAACAGAAGAAATACAAAGTTGTATTACTGGTTATAACCCAAAAATTTGAATACTTCTTGGTTAATATTTGAATTTTGTAAACTGTGTATCTTACTAAGGTAAGATAATCACACCTGTAATGTGAATACATATATATATAACCTGAGTTAATAAAAAGGTTACCGGATGTGGGCATGTGTATAATCTTGTTTTAGTAGCTACTTGTGGTAAATACCATTGTCATTTTAAGTTAAGATAAACCAAAAACAACAATAAAAACCGCTAACACATAACACTAGATGAAGCCCCCTTTCCCTCAAACATATTACATTTTTCAGAAATAACTGTGACACATCACATCAACAAAATGAATAAAACCATACGATCATCTCAATAGATGCAGAGGAGGTATTTGATAAAAACCAACATTTCATGATAAAAACCCTAAGTAAGATTGGAATAGAAGGCATATTCTACAATATATCAATGCAATATATGAAGGCAACAATGTCAGCATCATACTAAACGGGGAAATACTGGATGCTTTCCCACTAATATCTAGAACTAGACAGGATGTCTATTTCCACCACTGCTATTCAACATAGTAAAGGAAGTCCCCACAACAATTATTAGGTAGAAAGAAGAAATGAAAGGAATTCAGATCAGAAACAAGGAATTGAACTCATGACATGATTCCAAACAAGAGAAAACCAAAAGACTCAATAAAGAGACTCTGAAACTAACAAGAGTGTTTGTTAGGGTAGCAGGATAGAACATAAATCGATGGCCCCAGAGTACACAAATAACTTCAGGGCAGAGAAAGGAACTGGTAAGTACAGTTGCCTGTAAAATAGCAGAGAAGAACCCTAATACCTTGGAATAAACCTAACCAAAGATGCAGAAGACCTCTATGATGAAAATTACAATGTTAATGTTTTAACAATAGGAATAGAAGAAGACATTAAAAGATGGAGAAATTTACCACGTCCCTGGATCTGCAGAAGCAAGGCCATCAAAATGTCCATATTTCCAAAAGTTACATAGAGATTCAATGTGATCACAATCAAAATCCCAACAACATTCCTCTCAGAAATAGAAAAGATGATACAAAAGTTAATCTGTAATCACAAGAGACCACGAATAACTTAAGGTACCCTAATGAATAAAAATCAAATTGGAGGAATCACAATTCCAGATCTCAAGACACATTACAGAGCAGTGGTCATCAAAACAGTCTGATACTGGTACAGAAACAGCAGAAGATCAATGGAACACAATAGAAACCCCAAAAGGGAGTTCACACATTACAACCAACTAATTTTCAACAAGAGAACTGAAAAGAACCCAGGGGAAAAGCCTGGTTCTTCAACAAATGCTGTAGGGATAATTAAATAACATCCTGCAGAAGAAAGAAGCAAGACCCTCACCTTTCATTTTATACAAAAATCAGATCCTAATCAATCAAGAATCTAAATTTTCACCCAGAAACCATCAAACTACTAGAGGAAAACAGAGGAAGCACTCTACAAGATATAGGTGTTGGAAAAGACTTCATAGAAAAGTCACCAAAAGCTCAGGCTGTCAAAGGTAAAATAAACTAATGGGACTACATCAAACTATGAAGTTTCGGTACTGCAAAGGGAATGCAACAAAATGAGGAGAAAACAGACAGAATGGCAGAAAATCTCTGCACACTACACAACAGATAGGAGGTCACAAAGAACTTCAGAAAGTCAACAAGAGCAAAACACACTTGAGAGGAAATGCACAAAGAAAACGAGCAGGTATTTATTTAAACAATAAATTCAAATGGATAATAGACATATGAGAAAATGCTGAAGCTTGTTAGCTATCAGGGAACTACAAATACGACATCGAGGTTCCAACTGACTCCAGTGAGATTGGCCTACATTGAGAAATCTAACACCACCTGTTGTCATGGATGTGGCGCAAAAGGTACTAGGGTGCCAACCCACTGTTGGTTGGAGCGTAGGCTAGTACAATCGCTATGGAAGTCAGTATGGCGTGCACTAAGACAACTTCAAATTGATCAGCTGTATGACCTAGCTATCCCATTCCTTGAAATATATCCAAATGGCTGCATAGGAGAAAGTGACCTACAACCCTGTTACAGCAACTCAATCCAGCAGAATAATGACCTCATGGGAACAACCCAAAGGCCTGCCGAAAGTGGCCTGGATAAAGAAACTATGATCCATCTACTCCAAGGGCTACTATACAACCATTAATCAGAATGAAATTCTGCCACATACAATAAAATGGTCCCAAAATGGAGACCATTCCTCTCAGTGAAATCAATCTCCAGCGGACTAATAATGTGTACTCTCTAATATAAGGCAACATTCATGCAAAATACAAATGAAAAAGATATACTGGCAAACAAATGAAAAAGATATACTGGTAAACATTATGTACATTCTCATAGATGGACCTGTATTTGAGACTGAATTATATAACTGAGACTAGCATACCAGGAATAGTATATGGCAGTATATATACCTAATAAGAGGGTTCCCAATGAAAAGGGTAAACATACCTTGACAATAGAATATAAGATTTTCTACAAGTACATACACATATTCATGCCTTGATACACTTAAATAGCTGTATGTAGGATTTGTGCATTTTCCTGAAGGACTATATTGTTACAATAACATGAGGGCAAATTAGTAGAGGGTGGAATGGGGAGGGGGAGAAAGGGAAGCAAGGGGGAATTCCTATCCCCAGAAAACTCTATCATGAAAAATAATAACAATTTAAAAAAGGGAAAATAATCTCAAAAGCAAGTTTTCTTTTATAGCTTCACTCCTATTAAAAAGTTGTGAATATTAATTAGACTTAAGAACAGATTTGCATTAATTTGCTTTAAAAGTATGTTAATTGAAGAGCAACCTTTACCATTCTCTAGAGGTTTCAGTGAGAGAGTAAAAACAGCTTGCAATGAAAAATAAGTGAGAGCCTTAAGTCCGACATCCTTTTCTTCCTTTCCATCTTGTGTGTCTCCCTGTCACATAGCTTCTCAGTTCCCTCTTGGTCTCATTTACCCTCTTCTATCCTCTAGAATGAAAAGCAGCTTTCCATAATGTATACCTGGATGTGATTTTAATGCCATACCTCTAGGAATCCTTGCATTTTTACCCCTCTCTTTCCCTAGGCTGTGGCAACAGGGAAGCAGGTGGTAGGAGGGAATCAAATTCGCTAAGGGAAAGTTAAGAACTCTTGGAGGAGCTCTTGATGACCTAATACCCAGGTTCCAGTTTGTGCTGCCTAATAGGTGAGGTTAAGTCTTTTTTTTTTTTAAATAGAGATTTATTTATTTTTATTGCAAAGTCAGATATACAGAGAGGAGGAGAAACAGAGAGGAAGATCTTCCGTCTGATGATTCACTCCCCAAGTGAGCGCAATGGCCACTGCTGTGCCGACCTGGAGCCAGGAGCCAGGAACATCCTCCAGGTCACCCACATGGGTGTAGGGTCCCAAGCATTGGGCCAGCCTCAACTGCTTTCCCAGGCCACAAGCAGGGAGCTGGATGGGAAGTAGAGCTGCCGGGATTAGAACTGGCGCCCACATGGGATCCTGGCATGTTCAAAGTGAGGACTTTCGCTGCTAGGCCACGCCGCCAGGCCCCAAGGATAAGTCTTAAACTGGCAACTACAGGACCTTGGGTTTTCCTCTATAATATGCATCTAATTTCTCTAGGCTTTTATTCCTTTTTAGCATCAAGGTTTTAACCACAACTGTGTTAATCAAGCCAATCAACTTAACCCTAATCACCTGAGACAGCTGTAACCACTTCTGCCAAATGCTGGGGAGTCTGTTTCTTTGTTGTTTCTAATAATTATCAGAAAATGGTAGTTTACAAGAATCTAGTGGGAACTAAGCATTTCATGTGACTGACAAGAAAGAATATTCAGACATACAGACACTTAGGAAACCATCTGCAAAACAGTGAATATAAACGGCCTTAAAAATCATCTTTTGGGGCTGATGTTCTGGGATAGTGGGAAAACCCACCACCTGTGACACTGGCATGCCAAATGGGCACTGAGTCATGTACCTACTGCTCCATTCTGACCCATCTCCCTGCTAATAGCCTGGGTAAAGCAAAGGAAGATGACTCAAGTATATGGACTCCTCCCACCCACACGGGAGGCTTACATGAAACTCCTGGCTCCCAGTTTTGGTCGGGCCTAGCATTGGCTGTTACAACCATTTGGGCAGCAAGCAGTGGGTGGGATATCTCTCTTTCTCTGTGACTTTTAAAATAAATAAATCTTTTAAAAATAAGTCCCTTTTAGTCCTATTTCAAATATGTACATTAATGATAAATTCATTTTTCACAATAATTATATTACTTCGAAATTCACCTAATTAATCTAATTGAAATTGAGATTCTAACACTAAGCTGAGTGAGAGAAGTAGTTGCGCAGAAAAATTACAAATGAGAACAATCTTTTAATAGTTAATAAAAAGGGAAGAAATAAAGCCAAATACAAAGAATAATTTAAATGACTACTAAAATTAAGATAAATTTGTTCTTTAATTGCTCCGTCTAGGTTAATAATAGACCACAGTGAGATGTATCTGTATAATGTGTACACAGACAGAACGCACAAAAATTTGACAAAATACAACATCTTTTCCTGACAAATATTAGGCAGATTTTGTACAGAAGGAACATCCCTTAACACAACCAAGGTAACATATGACAAACCCATAGCCTGCATCATATTAAATTGGGAAAAGCTGGACACATTTCCACTAAAACATGGAACAAGGATGTCCACATTCACCATTGCTATTCAATACAGTTCTGGAAACTTTATCCAAAGTCATCAGGCAAGCAAAAGAAATCAAATAAATGCAAACTGGAAAAGAAGGTATCAAATTATCCCTGCTTGCAAGGTAACATGATTAAACATACAGGGAAACCAAAAGACTCCATTAAGAGAGAATAGGAACCCATAGCAGAGTTTAGTAAAGTTGCAGGATACAAAATCAACACACAGAACCCAACAGCCTTGGGGCTGGACAAGTGGCACAGCAGGCTAGTCCTTTGTCCTCTGTCCACTGCTTTGTGTCGCAGCTATTCCACTTCTAATCCATATCTCTGTTATGGACTGGGAAAACAGTGGATCATGACCCAAGTGGCTGGGACCCTGCAACCACATGGAAAGCCCAGAAGCTCCTGGCTCCTTTTTCAGATCAGTACAATGTTGGCTCTTGTGGCCATTTGTAGAATGAGCCAACAGATAGATGGATGACCTTCACTCCATCTCCCCTTTCTTTGTAAAATCTGACCTCCAAATAAAAATAAATAAATCTTCAAAAAAATATCAATAGCCTTTACATATACAGACAATGCCATAACTGAGAAAAAAATGTAAGATCAGAACATTTATAATAGATATAAAAAATATAAATATTGTGGAGTAAATTTAAGCAAGGGTGTGAAAGAACTCTACAATGATTATTACAAAACACTTAAGAAAGGAATAGCAGAAGACACAATAATGGGGAAAAACTTGCATGTGCATATAAGAATTAATATAATTAAAATGTCCATGGTATTCAAAACAATTCACTGACTCAATGTGATCCAAATCAAAATACCAATGATGTTTTCCCAGATCTAGAAAATAATGTTAAAATTAATATGGCAACCCAAGAGACCCCAAATAGCTAACACAAGCTCAAACAACAAAAACAAAATGACAGGCATCATGATACTGGCTTTTAAGACATACTACAGGGGCAGCTATAATCAAAACAGCCTGGTACTCACACAAAAATGTAGACCACTGAAACAGAAAGCAAATCTCAGAAATTAATACACCCGGCTACAGCCAATTAATCTTTGACAGTGTAAAAATAAACCCTTTAATAAATGACAGGCTTTTCAAAAAATGGTACTGTGAATAACGGATCTATGCAGCAAAAGGATGAAACACATATACAGAAATCAACTCTAGAACAAAGATCTAAGTGCAAGATCCAACATTACCAAACTTTTGGACCTGTGCTATGAGAGGAAAAAGTGGCGCCTGGTTTTAGCCTTGCTCAGTCGTATGGTGGCCACCTAAGGAGGGAACCAGTCAGTGGAAGGCAGCTATGTCTCTATCTCTCTCCCTCTCTGTAGCTCTTTCAAGTAAACGTACAAGTATTTTTTTAAAAAGGGAGGAGGGAGGTGGCATGATGGCTCAACCGGATGAGCTCCACCTCCAAGCGTGACATCCATTATGGGTACTAGTTCATGTCCCTACTGCTCCACTTCCCATTAGGCTCCCAATTATGACCTGGGAAAGCAGTAGGGATGATGCAAAGTCTTTGTGGGAGATCTGAAAGAAATTCTTGGCTTCAGAGCAGCTCAACTCTGGTCACTGTGGCCATTCAGGGAGTGAACCAGTAAATGGAAGATTTTTTTTCTCTGTCTCTCCTTCTCTTTGCAAATGTGGCTATCCAATCAAAATAAATAAATCTTTAAAAAAAAAAAGGTAAACATGTCTTCCCTGACTTGTGGTAACTAGTATAGAGACATTACAAAAAATGTAAAGGATGAGCAAAATTGACATTTGAATACAGTTTATGGTCCTTATAGGAACAGCAGTTTTTCTGGTTAATACTTGGCGAATTCTTTATTTAATGAAGGTTAAAATGATTATAAAATAAATTGAAGGTATGGAATTATAAAAAATTTCAAAAGAAATAGGAAAGAAAGGAGGAGGGAGGCTGGGAGCATGGGCAGGAGGTCACAAAGAGTAGGAGTAAAATCTGTATATGTGAAACACATATGTGAATTGTATCCATATCCTATTTTTTTAAAAATGAGACTTACTTATGTAGTGGCCACACATACAAAATGAGTCTGTTAGTGACAACATCCAATGATGCAGGCTTCCCAACTGAACTTCAGCATAAATGATCCTATCTCATTTATTAGCTTTGCAACTTATCCACAACTAAGTCCAACCACTATTCTTTATCACCAGTCCAAAGCATAAACAGGCAGCATTACTTACCTTCACAAGCTCCTGTTGAGCCCATATCTGAATGGGTTCTACCTGTTGAGGCGTTTGAGTTTGAATACCATATGTGTTGAGGAAAACTTGAAGGCTAAATAAAATAGAAACAAAAAAAAAAGATTTTTTTCAGACACTGTATTTACTGGCTGGGAAGTTGTGAAGTAATTGAGGCAAAGGAGCATGCAAAGCAAACATGGTGTATGGTGGCAAGTTGTTAACATCAGCAACATGCCAGCTGCACTGGAATCAGAAACTTTGACTTCTGGGAGTCCTGGGTGATAACTGGAAGGGTGGGAATTGACTTTGGGAATCCCCACAATGTGCCATTTCTCAAAACTATATCCCAGGCAACACCTGCCTTGATCTTTAAAATTCATGTCATGTGAGCAAAGTTATTTTTAAATGTGAAAAGAATGTTGTGCTGGCATTTAGAGTGACATCAATGACTTCCTTGAAACCCTGACAAGAGGTCTAAGAAATTAATCTCTACTATCATACTCGCTATGATATGCATAAAGCAATGATTCCTCCCACCTTCCCCTCACCACAAAAGAACACATCACTCTTCTGTATTTCATACCGTTGGCTTTCTGCAACCAGTGCTACATGAATGACCAAATCATTTTCCAGTGGACCCTGTAATACAAAATAAGGGAGAAGAAGTGCATTTTAAAAGATCTGGTCAATCATCAGCTACAATGAGAATCAAGGACAATATTAAGCGTCTCTGAGCAGTTCATTAAAATGATGGACACCAGCCGGCTCTAAGCAACCACTTTCTTCTCCTTGCTCATCACTGCCTACTAATCAATTTGATGGTGGGGACAGAGTAATGGAGCACCAAAGAATGGAAAGTCATAAATCTCATCACTACCAGAGGGGTGAGACTGTCAGGGCTATTTTGAATGATGCATAAGAGCAATTTGGGAACTCAGTCATTTTCCACCATTTAACTCAGAAGGGAAGAGGAGGAACTAAAAATAAAAACCCAATTTGTGTATTCCCTATAAAAATGATATTAAGTTAAAACTGTTCATTTGACATCTTAACCATATATAAGGCGTTTTCCCTTTCTTGTTAGCCACTTTCTTGTTGGCATCTTATACATCAAAATAGCTTGGTTGAAATATATAGCTTCTGCGGTACAAAATGAACTGACCTGTTGACCATATAATTAATATTATGTTCATTTAATACAAGCCGTTCGACTTAACAGTTATAACCAAAGATAGTGTTGGATATTTACACTCCTATTTTTGTGGAAAAGATTCACTGTACCTGGTTAAAATGAATGCATGTTTGAGCCTGTATATAATGAACAGAGAACATTAAGAAAGGAGCTCTGAAAATCCTGATCAAATACAACTCCTTTATAGTAATGCTTCCACATTCCCAATAGTAGGCTATAAAACATTTGATTTACCATCTCTCTAATGTACTCAATATGCCGCTATAATTTACGTATGATGGCAGGCAAAAATAAAAAAATCTGAATACATATACCAGCAGTAAATATCATACAATCAAAGAGATGGTTCCCAGAATCATCATGAAAATGCCATTTTGGGTAGAATTTTATGTGATTTAAATAAATATACAACAGAAAATAAGATGTTACAACCTAACCAAAAAAAAAAAAAGTGCACTAAAAGTGTTATAAATCCTACTTCACTTGATAAAGATCTTTCAATTAAATGTTTCTTAAAGAAAAAAATTAATCAGTCATTATATCATCAAGATTTCTAAAAAAAAAATGAAACCCCTTTACTTTTGGATGAAATCTAGCATTTACCTCACAAGAGGAAGATACATTTTATTATGGGCCATGCTCTGTAATCATTAAGACCCAATGGACTTTTTACATAAAAAGCAAATGAAAGCAAATGGAGGAATGTAAATGATATTTCAATAATAATAAATATCAGCTTATAGATTCTACCTGGCAAACGGGCATTCTTTGGAGTCATAGGCCTGTTTTATGATAACATTGTTTATGTTTGTTTGACAGAGTACTCAGATATAAGATGGCTAATGCATGGATGATTAAAGAACTGTTTAATTATAAATTCCCAGCAGTTCAAGAAGTTCTGATTCACTCTCCATCTGCCGAAAGGATCTTGGGCCTTCAACTCAATCTTAACTCAATCTTCTCAATCTTAACTCAATCTTTACCCAGTCTCCACACTGGAGGTCTAACAGCTCTATTCTTTTTACTACCAAGGTTAGAAACACCTTTTCAATATTTATCATTTTTTTTCCCAAAACACCAATATTATTTTCTAAAATCCATCAAGTTTCTGACAGCTTCCTTACAGCAATTAATAACTTCTTTCTACATGATATTTTCCTTAATAATATGGTGGGTCTTTCTACACACCATCTTTGTTCTACCCATTCCATAAAATATTCCCACATCCCAGTCAAGAAGGCATATCTGAGTTCTATTCTCCTGCCTCTTGGTTGGGCTCTAATGAAGATGTTCTCTTTTTAGAAGACTGGCATCACAGAGTGCTTGGGAGCAAAGGGAAATGGATCCACCATATTCTGCAGCATTAACACATAAAGGTATTTCGCTGGTTTCTTCCTTTGCTGACCAATCTTGTTAGAAAAATGGCTGTTGGGCAATACAGTAAATGAATATACTGCCATTACTTAAGAATTTCCTGTTGTGTGGACATTTAGATGCTTTCAAATTTTTCCACTTCTGTAGAGAATATAACAGGTGACCCCAACTCAGAATTGCTGAGGACTTAAGGAAGAAAATAAAGCACTAAGTGCAGTGTTTGACACACTGGCTAACAGGCACTAACTCATGCTGCATGTGTATTGCTTGCTATTCTCATGCCTAGCAGGACATCTGCTCTGCTCTTTGGGGAGCTTTGCTATAATATCTGTGATGCTGCTTTAGGTTTCATTGACTCCCATCATTTTAGGACAATTGGATGAAACACTATCCTATCTTTATGCGGATAGTTCTTTCTCAAAGAATTCCATACATCTTTTGAAAGGCATCTTCACCTGATTTACCAGTCCCTAATGCTATGGTCTGGATGGACACTGAAATTTTCACCTGTAAATAGGCTGATATTTCATTTAATGGTCCACTCTACTTCAGACTCTCAGAATCATACTTGGTACTTTTTCTTTGATCATATATATATTAATATATACTAATATATTAATATATGATAAGTATATATTAATCATTTATATACATTAACCATATATATAAATCATTTCTTCACAAAGCATCTTTAATCTTTCAAGGCTGCAAACTAACAATGACAGCAAACATGTAGAATAACCATGTTATATGTGCTAGGAACTGTCTGAAGTGCTTGCCAAACATATCTATTATATTGATTTTTTTAAAATGGGGCAAAAAATAGTCTTGAGAAACTTGTCTAAAGACAGATGTCAGAGCTACCACTCATATCCAAACATTCTGACTGCAGAGTTTGTATTTAATCACTGCTGATTTTGCCTCCTAAGAAGTAGAAAGGCGGGTTTGGAATTCAGTCACTTGAATCTCAGGCCCATACAGTGAACCTGAATTTCCTTATATAATAAATACAATTGAAATGGACAAAACTGAACTACTGCTTTTGAACCTTAAACCTACTCACACACAAAGTATTCCTTATCTCTTTTTTTTCTTCAAATATTTATTTATTTTTATTGCGAAGTCAGATATACAGAAAGGAGGAGAGACAGAGAGTAAGATCTTCCGTCCAATGATTCACTTCCCAAGGGACCACAATGGCTAGTGCTGTGCCAATCCAAAGCCAGGAACCACTAACTTCCTATAGGTCTCCAATGTGGGTGCAGGATCCCAAAGCTTTGGACTGTCCTCAACTGCTTTCCTAGACTACAAGCAGGGAGCTGGATGGGACGTGGGGCTGCAGGGATTAAAATCAGCAGCCATATGGGATTCTGGTGCATTCAATGAGAGAACTTTAGTCACTAGGACACCATGCTGGGCCCATTCCTTATCTCTTTAAGACTGCACACTATGAACTCACTGGCCAATTAATGGATGTCAGCCTTGATTTCTCTCTTTTCTTCAAACCTCATACTCAATAATATTCTAGTCACCCATAAAAGTTTGCAACACTTTGTATAACCATCCAAGCACTGGGTAGCTGTATCAAATTATTTACTCAACTCAAACTCTAAGTAATCCTCATTTACAGGTGAGAAAAATAAAGCAGGGGTTGCTGCCATGGCTCAACAGGCTAATCCTCTACCGTAAATGCCTGGATTCCACATAGGCACTGGTTTGTGTCCTGGTTGTTTTTACTTCCAATCCAGCTCTGTACTTATGGCTTTGGAATGCGGCAGAGGATGGCCAGGTCCTTTGGACCCTGTATTCATGTGGGAGACCCTGAAGAAGCTCCAGGATCCTGTCTTTGAATAGGCTTGGCTTTAACCATTACAGCCATTTGCAGAGTGAGCCAGTGGATGGCAGATCTTTTTCTACCTACCTCTCCTTCTGTCTGTAAATCTGCCTTCCAGTTAAAAATAAATAAATCTTGAAAAAAAAAAAACACAACCAAAGTAAAGAATGCTTAAAGATTTATTCATCCCATAACCAGTAAGTCCATAAAATGGGATCTACACAAGGCAATCCAATTCATCTTTTATTCAGTACAGTATACTGTGTACTACTCCAAGCACTGTTCACGTACCAATAAGACCTAATTAATTCTCCAAAATATGCACAAGCACTACCACTTCTTCCTCCACTGCTCTCATTCTACTCAAAGTTACCACATTATGCCCTGGTTCATTTAACTGGTCTACCTGCCTCAGCCTTACAACCCACTCACTCAAAGCAGTTCATGCTGTAAACAGCCACAAGGTATAAAACGTAACCAGACTCCATGCCACTGCCTGAACTCTCTGCTAGCTCACTACCACCCACAGAATGGGAACTGATTTGCTTTGCATAGCTCTTTCCTTGTAAGGCCCTACCTGATCTAGGTCCTGTCTCTTTCTCCTTCTCCCTCCTCTTCCTTTCCGTGCTTCAGTCACTGAATACACCAATTACACTCTTATCACGAGGGTTTGCAAAGGTGATGCTGGTTTGCAATATTTTTCCTCCAGAATGAATACATGGAAGGAACACCTTCTTGTTACGTAGGTTTCATCTATCATCCCTTCCTCACAGAGACTTTTAACGGGCAAAATCTGATCTTTCCAGGCATATTCATCCCCTTTCTATCACCTTGTTCTATTTTATCTAATTCAAAGCACCTGAAACCCCAGAAACTCTTATTGTTATCATTCCCTACAGAAAGTAACTCCTCAAGGGCAGGGATAGTGATCCATGTTGGCTACTGCTACGTTTACAAACTTTTATCTGCTGTAGAAGTAATAGTGATACCATTACTTTTTGTGTGACTAGCCCTATCATTTTAATTTTAATAACCCTCAGTTTTCTCACCTGCAAACTAGGTCTAAGAATAATTACCTCATCGAGTTAAAGGACAACATAGAACATTGCCATAAAATAAGAGTTCAGGAACCATTAGCCTCGTTTCCTCAACTGCAGTTACAGAAACAGAACTCTGAGGTCACTAGCCCCAGTTTTCTGCTTCTCATCTACCTTTGCCTCTCTTCTGCACTTTATACTC